CAGTAAGAATCTCGTTGATCCATTCATGCGCGTCACTAATTAGATGACGAGGCATTTGGCTATTTTTTTTATCCTTTCCGCACGTAGGTGGTAGGTATGGGACTTAGAATTTGACTAGGGCTCCAAATGGAATCCCAAATCTCCGCTTTGGCCCCCATACCAATGTCGAGCGGATTGGTGATGCGGACTAGTTGACAGTCTTCCCAAATCTATGAACCATGACAATAGAGGCCCGTATGGTATTGAGTAGTAGGGAACGAATCTCTCTGCCAGTGATCTTCAGGAGATTTTTGATCTTACTATTGTTTGACCACCAGCTACCTCGTTCTCCGATGACAAACTGCCACACCTCCAAGTTCCCCCCGCCGATCTCATTGGCAACCTGACCGTACTTCCTCATCTTCTCGTCTGCTGCCTTCCGTAACGATCCCCCTCCATCGAAAGGCACCGTTACATCGATGAGGACCCTAGTCCCGTCCTTCCTATTTATGATCAGGTCCGGCTTAAGATTCCGGTCGGACAGGCGTGGACACTGCTCTCTAAGGACATGAAGTCCTCCCTCAACGGTTTTTCTTTCCAAGAAGTCTACAATCCTGTCAGGACGCGAAATCCTAAGTCGGTGGGTCTCGGGACAGGTTTGGAGTATATGATTGATGGATTCTGGGGAATTACATCCAAACCTGCAGGTATTATCTAGGCGTGGTCTCCCAATGTTGGCAGTATGACGACAGACCATGGAATTGGTCCGGAGCTTAATTGCTTCTGTCAGGTCCTTTCCTTGAAACCATCGTGTCCGTCCTACTAACCAGAAGTTGTTACCCGTCCGACCGCTAAAGTTCTCATGCCCATACCCCTGATATGGTGCCATGAATTCTTGATGGAAATTCCTCGCCTTCCGGATCATATCCTCGCATTTCCTAATCTCCTTCTGGACATAGGGCGTGAGGGCTAAGGCGGCCACTAACGGATCATCGGTGGTTTCGGTCCGACTTAAGATGTTATACTTAGTTCTGGCTACCAGCTCATTTAAATCTGGAATACCCAAACCCCCGTCCCTGAGGGACATATGGATGAAGGCTGAACTCAGGACGGTCGGGAGATGACGAAATTTCTTAATGGACCGCCTGATGGCCTTGTTCAGCCCCGATAGGAACCCATGATGGAGTGGGACGTGGGTGAGGCGATAGTAGAACCTGGGCAAAAGGAAAGACCTGAGTAGAAACAATTTTTGTCCGGGCTTGAGGGGCGCCC